AGACTTCAGTTCAGTAAAATTGATATACTCACCATATTCTTCATATGTTGTCCATTCTTCAGAAACAAATACAGTCCAACGGTATGAAGTAAACCAGATACAGTACTGATAAAATGATTGGGACGGCCCAGAGGATCAGAAAAATCGTACACCAAATAAACCACCATGGCATAATAATCGATGATAATGGCAATCAATTCGACAACAGTATGCAATAAAAAAGCAGGATTCATGCAATCGTTGTAACAGTAAATGGCCGAACAGATATCCTGATGAAAAATCCTCAAATATTCAACAAGTTCAGCTCGACTCAAGAGTGAATATCCAGATGGGCATACATGATCGCTTTTGCAGAGTCGGAACTTGAATATACCTAATAAGGTCCGGCGATTATCATTGTCAGAAATTCCTTTAACAGGATGTACAGGAACAGATTGAACGGAAGCCATCAGCAGTTTTTCGAAACAAGCCAAGGTCCCCAATATAACAGAAATAATCGATGCATAGCTACAATAGAACATCACTGAAATATTTTGCGAGAACTGTAATTCGAAGATGTAGGTTAGGATGGAAGTTTCAAAGTTGGTTGATTGTGATAACCAATGAAACATGCCAATTTGTACCATCATTATAATGAAGGTGAAGACAGTCAGGATGTAGTCCGTTAGTAAAGCGACTCGTCTAGCAGACTGGCAGAATATCCCATCTTTAAAAACATCTGACATCTTATCGAAAAACTTGATGTATTTCGGGATCTGCAAGAATGATAGCAGCAACAGCAGCAGCATACAATATGCGAAAAGCAAGTTCACTATATCCCGCAGTATCTGCATGAATCCCTTGTTACTCAGGATGTGGATGTAATCGAAGTTCATCAGAAGCTGGTACAGGTAGAAGCTGGCTAGTCCAGCAGTGTATGCTATCCAGTACCAAGACTTCTGATAGACACATCTACCCCCTTGGTGAGTGCTTGTGAGGGGAAAGAGGCCTACTAGTTTTGCTATGATGAGAATGGGTGCCAGAACTTCACAAAGGCATTGATGCTTTTCTTTGGAATTATTTTTAGTCGCTGGCGCTACCTTCATCTCACGCAGGGGCATTTCGGATACTTGAGTGATTGATTGCTTCCTGAAAATAATGTGTCTTTTTATATACAGTGTGACCCATTTTGATGGAAAATTTGGAGTTGTAAACCGATTTCAATATTTTTTTTCTTTGGGATCAAATGGGACGAATTTGAAATGTTCATTCCAATTTTCAGGGCATACTACGATATTTTTTCTCAGTCGAAAATCGGGATTTTTCATTAGCGATTTTTTTATTGAAAAAATCACTACGCCACTGGATACAGAGTGCCTCTATACAGGTGTGACCAAAATTTCATGGAAAAACATTCATAAATAACAAAGTTATGACAACTCAAAAATTCGAAAACTCACAAGGCTAACAGTCACAAAAAATACCCAAAATCAACAGATATAGCCATGAGAATATTTTTTTTATGATTTCAACAATGAAGTGCCACCAGATGGAAAAAAAAAATAGTTTAATTGTTTTGAATGAATGTAACGGATGTATACTATATTTTGACTTGTTTGGCAATGATTATTTCAAAGGTATTCAGGACGAATCTTTTTCAAATCGGTATAACTAACTTCCACTTCAATTTGTTGATGAATATACTGATGAAGTCTTCTTGAAATCAATGAAAAAGTATCTTAAAACTCAAATTGATTTTTCTTACCTGCATATAATATTCCTAACACAGTATATCTCCGATTCCAAATAGGGCAGAAATAACAAGACAGTGATCAAGCTTCAATTCTACTAATAATCAAATAATAAAATAAGTATGAGTCATGAATGAATAGTACTCCCATTGTATATCCATCAATAATACATTTGTTTTATGACCATGCATTAGTCTGTGTCGAAGATGCCCTAATTTCTATAACATACTACAGCAGGCAGAAAAATTAAAAATATATACTGTAATAATGATGATTAGTCATACTAAATTATGATCATTATTATTATTAATACTACGATATTATCATTATATTAAATTCGATCCTCACAATTGGGATCTGGTTAACTATGGAATTATGAAAATTTGAGCAAAGTCAATCTCGATTCAGAATCCGCTAAGAAATCTAAACTAGCTCAAAGAATTTTTGAGTCATTGAAGAAAACCTGAAATCTTGTATCTTCGTTTTCCTTCAATATCACGAAAATTATTGATTGTTTGATAAGATGACTTCAACATTCCAATAGCACTTTTTAGTGATTTTCTTGTATTTTCGTTTTTCTCCAATATCACAAAAATTATTAATTGATTGTATGATAAAATGACTTCAACATTGGAACACCGTAGAAAGATTAGTGACCTCTCACTTTTCTATCGATACTTCCACGGGAATAGTTCTTCGGAAATCTCTGCTATCATCCTTCCACTAGCAATACCAGTCAGACGAACTAGACAAGCCCAGTCAGCACATCCTTTCGTTGTCAATCTCTAAAGATGTCGAACAGCACTTTATCAAAACTCCTTCATCCATAGAACGGCTAGGCTCTGGAATTTATTGCCTGAGGAAGTATTTCCCACAACATATAATCTCCAGGAGTTCAAAAATAATTCCAATACCTACCTCCTGTCCCTACCCTCCCTAGGAACGCACGATGTTCTTCGAACATCATAGGGATTTTCTTTCGTGCGCTCCAAGCGATAAAAAATAGTACTTTTTGGTGATTTTCTTAATGTTTTTGTCAGTTGTCGTTGAAAATACGAATTTTCTGAGATATGACCTCCAACTTATCTTCTTTTCTTCTTGTGACTAGTTTCGGCTCAAACAGCAATCTTCAGACTCATCAGTACACAGTTTCAATAAGGCCATGTGGAAGTCACTATTTATAAAAATCAAAATCAAAAAAAGTAGTGGAGTCATTTGATGAAAAAATCAGTCCGGTGAAGGGATACTCAAATTTCTGAACCGTACAGGTGTGTCTGAAGATGGCGGTTTGAGCTGAAACTGGCCACAATACATTTTGTGAAATATAATTCATGTGATCGACCAACTTGGTGTTATTCTGTTCTTCCTTTAAAAAAAAATTTAACCACTTTGAGAATGATGGATGGTTTCCATGACCTATTATATGATATTTCGTGGGAGACGTGATTATTAGATGTTCATCTCTTGGAGCGCACGAAACAGAATTCCTATAATGTTTGAAGAACATCGTGCTTTTCTCAGGAGGATAGGGAGAGAAGGTAGGTAATGGAACTTGTTCTGAAATTTGGGGAATTGCAAGTTATTGGAATCCTCTGGCAAAGAATTCCAAAGCTTTATTGCTGTTCAATAGACACACGGATTTCTTGAAATTTTCACCTGTGACGTCCAAACGGGGTTTGAGCTGAAAATTTTAGGAGGAAAAAATGGTACGCCACTGCTTTTCTCAAAAACCAGAATTAATTTTGGAGTCCTCATTCATTTTGGAGAGAATTTGGTCTAAAAATTGTTCTATAATTGTTCTTATCCATCATTCGGTTGCCCCCTTACGAGCAACCCCCAGAAGTCTTCAAGAGACTTGTGCAAGCTAGGAATGACGGGGGCTCACTTTTGAACGTGTGATCCCAAACACTTTCTTAGGCCATCAGAAAAATTTCTGCGGTCGTAGTGGGAATCGCACCCACCTACCGGCAATCCAACGTGGATAGAACATTGACGCTTGAACCACGAGGCTACGCTGGCCAAAAAGACTTACTTTCATACGATGTACCGTTTTCGCGTAAAAAAATTAAAAACGTTCATCGAGATTGTTTTTGGTATTATGGTAGGCACCCACATTTTGTTTCAGGACGAAATTCAATTTTTCAATTCCACTGATTTGAATGTTTCGATCAGAAGAAAATGTAAAATGTGCGCCTCTGATTTCAACACCCTGTATTCTTCTCCTAGAAATCAGCTGAATTAACACCCTGTATGCACATACTATCATTACGAATATTCAACCAAGAATCAACTAATTTCCTGGCTATTTGCCACGTCTAACATTGAATATACGCTGGTCTGAATTTTGTGTCTCACATTGATCAATTATATAAGCGTCTAGCAACATCAACATATATATTGAGGCAGCTGGAGGGTAAACTGACTGAGGAATATCTCAGGGTGTCTTATTTCTCAATATTTCATTCAGTAATGACATATGCCTCGATAGTGTCGGGTGCATCAACTCATTCTACAAAAATCTTCATTTTACAAAAAAAAGTTCTAAGGATAATGGCAGGAGTAAGTTATACAGAACATTGCAAACCGTTATTCAAACGATTCAAAATCTTAACACTAGCCTCATGCTTCGTATAAGAATGAGATTTAGAATTGACATTTTCTTTCAAATCGGATGAATAATAAGATGTCTAATGATATAAAAATATAATTTACCAATATATTCATTATTGAAATAGAAATTTAAATGTATAGGAGAAGTATTCTTGTATAAACTCTGATCTAGATGAGCTTGTATAACTTCCAAAACTCATTCGTATCAGTGATATGGAAATATTATCTCTCACAAACAGGTTATAGATGTATTTATTCGAATAAACTCACTTCGGGTATCATTCCTCCTCAGTAACCTGAATTCCAGTAATTCTTTCAGTCATTCACTATGCAATACAGAATTTACATCTCTCCACAATATAACTAAAACCATAGATTAACGTGTCCCCGAATTATTTGTTGGCATTCCTCTCCTGTCATCTGGGTATGACGTGGAAAGAAATTCTGAATTGAGAAAACCCAATCACGAATCTGTTATTAGAGGTCTGAAAAAATATCAACTTTCCATCGTTCAAGTTTGAACCCCTTCATTGATGGTTTCAACAAGAATGTGTTTTGTAGGTATCATAAAAAAAATTCAACAATAGTAACCATAACTAAACATTTATTTCAAATCTGATCTACAAATGGTTGCAAATAAGAAAATCCTGTGCAAATGAATCACTCTTTTGGTATCTCGAACTGAAGAGCTACTAATACGTAAGTCAAAATATTAGCTGATATCTGTAACAGAAATTCAAATACTTTATGACGAAAATGTCATAAATTCATTTCCAACCAATTAGAAGGCTCCTTTTTATTCACGTTGTTTACAACAGGTGATAATCGCGATAATTTTGATAGATCCTATATAACTTGATGGAATTGATAAGTGAGTATTTTTCTGTCAAGAATATAGCGCCTTATATATATCGACAAAAGTCACTAGGTTTCATTCAAAACTATGTATACAGGGACAGGGTATATGTTACGACGAGCTTACACTATCTCTATATTGAGAATCAGAAAAGATAAATCCATGAAAATGTGCTTGCTTACATTTGAGAATACCTTCTCTTCATTTGAAATATTTTCGACAATGCAGTATTGCTTCTACTAGAAAGTTGTGGCAACATTGATATTTTGAATAGAATACCCTGTATTTCATCACATTTTTAAATCCTCCCTGAAGAGCTGATTCCATAGATATATCACACTTGGGGTCTATCGGAAATGATTACAGAGATATAGGGTGTTCAAAATCGAGATTTTTCAACTTTAGGATATTTTTGTTTCGAAACTATTTATCATCGGTCAAAATAGGTCACATGTCCCTATCTCAACTTTTGATACAATATTTACTGATATTTAATCGGAACAGATACAGGGTGGTTCAAGATTCAGAATTCTGATCACGCGATATCTGTTCCGATTAAAAATCAGTATATAGTGAATCAAAAGTTGACATGTAAGTCGTTTTAGCCGATAATGAATAGTTTCGACACAAACAAATCCTAAAGTTGAAAAATCTTGATTTTGAACACCCTATATCTCTGTAATCATTTCAGATAGACCCCAAGTGTGATGTATCGATGAAATCATCCCTTCAGGGGAAATCTAAAAATGCAATGAAATACAGTGTATTTTATTTGAACTAACAAAGTTGTTGCTACTTCATGATAGAAGCAGCAACACTACATTGCTGAAAATATTTCAAATGAAAAGAGCGTATTCTAAAATATAAGAGCATGCATATTTTCATGAATTTCTCCCAATTGATTTCTGATATAGAGATAGTGAAAGCTCGTCGTGACATACCCTGTAGACATGTAATATCAAATATTATGGTTGAAAACGAATCAATGTTTTTAATGTTACCGAAATTCTATAGTGATGAACCTCAGTTACTATCACGTAAAATCAACTTCTATATATCGTAAAAATATATTGCGTCATAATTAACTATAGCTCATCGGAAATATATTTTTCTACAAACGTCAATAAATGACAAGCATTGATAACAAATTGCGAAGTGAGACTTTTTTTCAGTTTTCTACGTTACCATGATACCTTGCACAAAACAATGCGCGAAGTGAAACAGTGCGCGAAGTACCTACTTCGCGCATTGTTACGTAAAATATATGAGATATATATATTTCAACTTCATGGTCCTCAATCGAGCAAACATCCACGAAATCATTTATTTCTGAATGTTCCACAATAACTTCGTTTTATCTCTTGGAGCGGGGAACATCGTGCGTACCTTGGGAGGATAGGGGAAGGCCTTTTGGGCCAGTTCAACACTATTCTTTATATCAAGCTAAGCATATTTTTACTATAGAACTATATTTTTTGACGTTTGTAGAAAAAATGTTGTTTGCAACTCGAGCGCGAAATACTTTGGTCATCTCGACTATTTTTTAACTCGGCTACGCCTCGTTATAAAAATCAGATCTCGATCACCAAAAGTAGCATTTCGCGCTCTAGATACAAAAATAACTATTTTTGAGTTTCATTTGAAACTATGTATCAAATTTTATACATTTATGCAGGATAGGTCGTAGGGTTGGTTCATTTTCTCATGATATCGGAAGCAACTCAAATTTATGAAATCTTTTTACCGAATCTCCCACGCACCAGAATCAATTCCTGATAATTTTCTTCTCCGTTTCATTCATGTATTTTTTGTTGATAGAAAATTATTCCGAGTCGAAGACTTCGTGAACTTGGAAAAAATCATCGGTAAAAATTCCACTATGGAGATTATAAGTGATAGAGGATCATTGATCATTGCGAAATCAGGATTATGAAAATTTTCACCACCCTTGAAATCAAAATATTGTGTCTAGATATTGCATGAAAAATAACTTACTGGTCCTGCAATTCCTAGGTCAATTGTGAAAACTCCACTTGCCGTGAAGGGACGATGATTCTTCAGTTTCTCAATGAAAAGACGAACCTGTTGGTGTTCATCAAGACTGGAAATCCTGGTGGAATATTCCAGAAGAAAATTTGTCAGTCCTTGAATCTATAAGAAGAATCGTGACTCAAAAACCAAAAATGTTAATTGTATTCCCAGAAAGTTTCAGTTTTTCCACAAATTCCTGAATAATTCTGCATATAAAACTGGTAGAGGAGAAAACAATTTTGGAGAGTGGGGATATAGGTAAGTATCATCCACTGAACATTGAGTAATTTGGTACCAACCAAGGTATGTTTCTCTGACGAAAGTCAAAGGATATTAGAGGAAAAAATCTTGGAGAGTAGGGAGATGAGTTTCATCCACTAAAGATTGGGTAATTCATTGATTGATTGAATGGGTACTAACCAAGGTATGTTTCTCTGTCGAAAGTCATGGGATATTAGGGAAGAAATTCTTGGGAAGTGAGGAGATAAGTTTCATCCACTGAACATTGGGTAATTCATCTATTGAATGAATGAGAATCAACCAAGGTATGTTTCTCTGACGAAAGTCAAAGGATATTAGGGAAAAATTCTTGGGGAGTGAGAAGATGAGTTTCATCCACTAAACATTGAGTGATTTATGGATTGATTGAATGAGTACCAACCAAGGTATGTTTTTCTGACGAAAGTCAAAGGATATTAGAGAAAAAATTCTTGAGGAGTAGGGAAATAAGTTTCATCCACTAAGCATTGAGTAATTTATTGATTAACTGAATGGGCACCAACCAAGATAATGTTTCTCTGATGAAAGCCAAAGGATCCAAATGAAAAATGGGGTACAGTAAGGCCCAATTCTGAAGGGCTCTATCACGCATGAGAGCCTTTCCAGCTTGAAAGAGTTATCCTGAGCCACATTCATTCCAAATGCCTTTGGGAAGAATATTATAGATACCTCCATAAAGAATTCACACTTACCTATGTCTTTCTGCTTATATATACAGGGTGAGTCAGAAATGTGATTTCAGCTTTTTGAATGTGATAGTACATTGAGAATTAAGTATGGTTTGATGAATAAACTGATGACCAAACATGTTTACCAAGAGAGATATACTGGATGGGGCATTAGTGCGTCGATGCCCAATTGCTCGAGTTCTATGATAGCTAGAAACTTGATTCTAGAACGAATGTGCATGAGACAACAAGGTCCATAACTAAAAACTATTGCTACATATACAAGGGGCACCGGAAGAAATCTGGAGAGTCAGGATCACTTTTTCAAAATGAATGCTCTATATGACCTCCATCCACTCCCATGATATTTTTGAATATATCTCTATATTTTTAAAGTTATTAATTTTTTTCTCGAAATAATGTCATTTGCAGATGCATACCGAAATGATCACAGTAGTCACAATTATGAAATTCAAGATGAAACATCATAAATATCATAAAATCTTTCGTAAGCAACATGTGTGCTATCTCTGTAGAATATTCATGCCCTCAAATTATACAGGGTGGCTAAAAATGATTTTTCAATTCGGAACTTTTGGAAGTGATTTTTCTCGAGTTTTTCAAATGAAACACCCCCTATATTTCAAGGCAATTTGGGGTGGAACCAAAAGACGAACATTTTTCATCTCGATATCCATATATCCATATATAAGTAAATTTGTTTTCTTCAATGAAAGAATTGAAGCAAACATCAGATATAGTTCATATGCTAGTGATTTAAAAAAGTAAAAAAAAATCCATTTCCAAAATATCCCATAAATTCATAGCTCATCAAAAACAAAACCAGGATAATAATTCACAATAATGCAAAATGGGAATTTTATTCTTCCTCAACTTGTGATAACTAGCATATGAACTATTTCTGTTTGCTTTGATTGTGGTATCAATTCTTTCTATAAAATAACAAGTTTGATGAATCAATTAGTGGACTTTTGATGTTCTCATAACTGATGAGAATCTGTGTCGATGAAAATGGCCAGCCCATAATTTTCAAAGTTCAATAATTCAAAAATGGTTACGATTATCAATAGGGATGTCAACAAGGTAGATGTTTGTGTTTCGATTTCACACCAAATGGCCTGGAAATATATGAGGTTTTCCATTTTAAAATCTCGAGAAAAATAACTTACAAGAGTTCTGAATAGAAAAAAACATTTTTAGCCACCCTGTATAATTTCGGGGCATGAAAATTCTACAGAAATATCCTGCATCTTTCTATCGAATGATATTATGATTATTTCATCTTGAATTTCATAATTGTGACTATACAGTGATTTTTTCTGTATATTAACAGATGACATTATCTTGGCAAACAGATTTAAAACTCTGAAATGATCGAGATATAGTCAACAATATTATAAGAAATGTTGGAGGTCACAGGAATGCCCCGAAGAATGTGCTAACATACAGGTCACTCCATTAAAAAAAAGTGATCCTGCTTCCATTGAACAAATGTGTAAGTATGAATAACGTCCGTACGTATAAAATGTAACAACGTGAGACATTTTTCATTATAAAATTGACCGAAAAAGGTGAATCTTGACAGGAATACGAAACATTTCTAGGGTTGGGATGACAAATGAATAACTCAGTTGAAAATACTATTCCATTCAGATATGCCTGAGCTGACGCGGTATACTCACCATATTCTTGATATTCTGTGCATTCTTCAGGAACAAATAAAGTCCGTAGGTGTGAAAAATAGCAAACACACAGTTGAGTATGTGAATAGTTGAAGCCATCGGACTCTTGAAGTTATAAACCACATGAGCAACAACAGCGTACCAATGGATGATAAGAATAGCAAGCTCCAAGACAGTATGGATCAAAAACATCGGATCTATACAGTCATTCCAGGCATAAATGCACAAACATAAATCTTCATGGTACATCCTCAAGTACTCCACAAGTTCAGCTGCAGTCAGCGTCGAAAATTCAGCCAGAATATGGTGTTCGCTCCTACAAAGCTTATAGTGAATGACTCCAAGGAAATCCCTCTCGTTATTGGTCTCATCGATTCCAGCCAAAGGATGCACAGGAGTGTACTTCAAACTGCTGATGAGAAGTTTCTCGAAGCATGCAAATCCTCCTATGATCACTGCTACAACGCCGAAGAACTTCGAGTAGAAAACCAGGGAGATCGTTTGCGAGAACCTGAAGAAGAAGTCAGAGATGCTGAAATTGGTATGATGAGTCTCCGACTGGTGCAACCAGTAGTAAAGGCCAGCTTGTGAGGCAGCTAGGCATATGAACAAGGAGATAATGCAGTACTGCGTTGTGAGGACTATTCTCCTGGCAGACTGGCACAGTATGCCGTGTTTAAACACTTGTGCGAATTTGTTCATTGTTGTGGTGTACTTAGGGAGCTTGATATAAGCTGCCAGTACTATGATCAGAACATAGTGTGCGTAGACAGCGTTAGTCATCTGATTTAGAAGAACGATCAGAGACTTGTTGGTCAGGATATTCTCATAATCGACATTTACTATTATCTGGTACATGTACAGACTGAAAACGATTCCACAGTAAATAGTCCATGGCCAAGATCGTTTGAAGATGCACTTGTTGTTTTCATGTGTAGTTGTGACAGGTAGTATTCCAAAGCATTTTATGAAGAAGAAAATTGGTGATACGGTCTGACAAAAACAGAGGGAATTCTTATTGGCTTGAGTTTTTTTGGTGATCGGAGCGACTTTTATATTTTGGATGGCCATGACTGAATTGGATCAGTTTTTTGTCCAAGCTGCTCGAAACTGGAGTGCCACTAGTACGTAGGTGAGCACAGTGCCAGATATCTGAAACAAAAAGTAGGTATATGAAATTGACTCAACATCTTCACTGGATGTGGGATAATATTGTTCTTTGGGTGCCACGAATTAACTTCTTTCCTAATAACAATGTTGATATTCATCTTGTTTGATCGATTTTTGAAGTAAACGACCTATAATATACATATAACTAGCTTGCTAGTGGGAATTGCAGCAGATTGAAGGTGAACTCATTACAGTTTGTCCGAGCTTTCGAAAATGTATATTTTCATCATCAGGGCGAATACATATACGTATTAATAATCAATACGGATAATCTCTATCTGTTTCCATAGCGAAACATGAAGCCGATTTTTGAAGACAAATGACTATCCATAAGGAAAAGTGAGATACGATCAGACACATACTGCTTTGATTGAAAGGCTAGTAAACGTCATTGTCCACCGAAACGCATGTCTTTGATGACTACTACAATAGCGCATGGCGCATGCGTATCATGCCACCAAATCCTTATGGATATTCATTTGTTTCATATTTTTGGCTTCATCCTGGCACCCGTTATGATCCGTATTGTTTATTAATACGTATATGGGCGAATACAATAAAAGTTGAAATGTGTACATTGACAATTATATTGAGGATTGGTCAAATGATACAAACACTATTTGAGGATGATAACAATGGTGTTAATTTTTTTTCGAAAGTGGATGTGACATTTTTTGAACAAAACAGTGTCACGAAACATTTAAAATTCTTGTAGAAGTTGAAAATACGGTTATTACATAATTTTTACAGTGATGCAAAAATTGTTTTATAACAAATTGAAACATTGAAACTTTTGTACTGATTTTTTTTTCACTTTGGTCAACTCTGGGGTTAACTTTTTCTTTACGTCTGCCCAAAGATGAATTATAGGTTGATCGTAATATGAATGTAGTGCATGGCGTGCCTAAGCTTTTACAACTCTAAGCATAATACTCTTCAGGCAAAAATGGAAAGGAAGCAGAGAATCATGCCATGAAATGAAATCCGGTGAAAGTTCGACAAACTTTGTCCTTGACTTCGCGAATAGGGAATGGAAAAACAGAAAACAAAAAAATTGACAAACATTTGGAATCAAACACAGAACACTTGGATATTGAGAATAGTATCACCACGAATTCTTTCTGTTTTTCCAAATTTTTTTGTTCCTTATTTTTTTCCCATTCCCAAAGTCAAGGACAAAGTTTGTCACCAAATTTCATTTCATGACATGATTCTCTGCAGTACTATTAACCTATAACTCATCTTTGGGCAGACGTGAAGACGAATATATCAACCTAAGAGTTGAGCAACGTGATAGGAAGGTTGTAAAATTCATAATGTTTGAATTCGTCATTGAATATATACAGGGTGAGTCATAACTATTGGGAGGCGGATTGTTTGGACCAAGATATGGCAATAGTACCGAATATGCCCCGATAAAATATTGCTGTGCAAAAAGATACAGGTCGTTGGAGTTGAATATCTTTTTTTTTTTTTCATTTTTTGTTGTTACTTCCACTGTATATTCATCAATTATTATCCAAATTGGTACAGAGACATGATTTTAAACAAGGAATATCAGTTGATGTATTATTCTACAGTTTGTTACAGGGCTACGTGAATGATACGATATTTTCATCCGTTTTCGGCAAAAACGCAATAGAATAGTTCAAAGTCTCGGAAGGGGATTTCAAATATTATTTCAATGATGAAGATTGTGGTTTGGACTGTCAGATCATTTTTGCTGGTGAAATACTTTTCTTGTCATTTAATGAATCTTCGTGAGAGTTCAAAGTCAAAACTTTTCGATTGAAACGCCCTGTATCTTTTTCCACAGCGACATTTCAAACAATCCGCCCTTAGCCCTATGTCCCAATAGTTATGACTCACCCTGTATATACTGAAAGTACCATTTGATTAATCCTCAATATTATTGTGAATGTACACATTTCAATTTTTATTGTAGTCTTCCTGATGATGGAAATATACATTTCCGAAAGTTCGGAGAAACTGTAATGCTAGCTAGCAAGCTGGTTGTATCTCTAACGTGTCATCGACGACTTCCCTTTCGTCTGTTAATCATTGCTTCTACTAAATATTTTCAAGAAGATAAACTTGAATGATTTTTCAATAATTAGGTCCAATTGGATTTTTGATCAGAAGATGTTCCATTGAAACTTGAATTGGGAAATTGAATATCGCTATGAATATTTGTGGTTGAACTCACCGATGCCAGTAATCTAGTTCCAATCACTATGGTATCTGAAGCTTTCACAACTGGTCTCTGCAGTGACAGGGTGGTGATCAACATTTCGACCTGAAATCAATATTTCATATCAAAATACCTAAACTTATTCGGCTAGGATTCCACAAGGTATTCCACGAATGAAATGAATTAACAATGTCTTGAATAGTTTTGGAAGAATTCTCGGTCGATGCATAGATTTTGGGAGCATGAAATTCAATGTTTTGCGTGACATTATAGCCAAAGAAGTAGCTGTTATCTTTCATTGTTATCCATTTTTTTTTTGCTTTTGATAAACATTTCATTCAACTTTGAGCATTTTAGCTATTTCGAAGTTGAACTGACTATTTATGTTGATACTTATTTGGGCCAGAAGGACTGTTCACAACAGATGTCAATAAAGTTCTAATTCTTATCTTTTGTTACATGATATTGACATGAGGATGAGATGGACTTTTTTCTGGTCTGAGTTGAATAAAAGAGAGATGGAATATATGGGTATATCTTGATTTCCAATGCTATGCAGATGATCTCGTCCTAATAGTAAGAGGGAAATTTGAAGCGACGATCTCAAACGGCCTACAAGAAGCCCTCAATACTGTGTACAGATGGTGCGAGAGGGAGCAGATGTCTGTGAACCCCCGAAAACTGTAATCATCCCTTTTACCAAAAGGCAAAAACTAGATAAGCTTCGTCAGCCTGTCCTATATGGAGAGAGCATTCCGTTTGCGACGGAGGTGAAATATCTAGGGGTCACCCTAGATAAAAGACTCACCTGGAACGCCCATATGGCAAAAACTATTAACAAAGCCAGATTCCCCCTCTGGAACCTCAGAAGGGTATGCGGCAAATCAACCCCAAACAGATTTACTGGATTTACCAAACAATGGTAAAACCAATGGTCACGTATGGCTCGGTAGTCTGGTGGACTAAAGGTCTGCAGGGAACAGCCAGGGCACAGCTTGCTGGTCTCCAGCGGCTGGCGTGCCTGGCCATTACAGGGGCGATGTCCTCTACTCCAACGGCAGCGATGGAAAACCTCCTGAACCTCACTCCCCTCCACATTGTCTTGGAGAGGGAAGCCAGGATGGTTTCCTACAGATTCCTGTCATTGGAAAATCAAATCAGAGGGGGGGCGACTGCTGGACCACTCCGGGATACTGTGTGAAACAAAAAATCACCAAACTCTAGGAATGGTTTCCGACATGTTGGCCACTCAGACACACGTGAAAAAGTCTTTCAAAGTCCTCTTCCGAAGAGAGACGAATGAGCAAGCGGATCAGTCCGATTCCAGAGACCGAACACGTAATGTACACAGATGGTTCGAAAACCCCTCGTGGAGTGGGAGCCGGTGTGTTCAGCAGAAAACCGAAGACGGAAATTTCCGTCAATCTCGGCAAATATGCTACAATCTTTCAGGCGGAGGTATTCGCAATTGCATTGTGTGCTAGAGAGTTGTCGAATAAACCTCTAGTAAACAAAAATATCAGTATTGTATCAGACAGTCAGGCTGCTCTTAAAGCACTGAGCTCCAGCAAGATAAATTCCAAGCTTGTATGGAGCTGCATTGAATCCCTAGAAAGCCTGGGTGCTAACAACAGAGTCACTTTGCTGTGGGTGCCTGGACACCAGGGGGTGGAGGGTAACGAGAAAGCCGACATCCTCGCCAAACAGGGAACCGAATCTGTGTTCATAGGACCAGAACCATATTTTGGGGTCACCGCAAGTGCGGCGAAAACAACTATCTCGGGCTGGGCGGAGGGAAAAACACTCACGTACTGGTCCGAATTACCAGGATTAACTCATTCGAAGGCGTTCCTGCCTAAACCATCGGAAAAAAATAACCAGGCAGATCCTAGAATGGAGCAGGGGTAACCTGCGAATTCTGACTGGACTGCTTACGGGACACTGTCGTCTAAGATACCACCTGGGAAGGATGGGTCTGAACCAACAAACGGACTGTCGGTTCTGTTGTGTGGAAGACGAAACGGCTGAACACCTATTATGTTCATGCTCTAGCTTAGAAATACTAAGGTTCGACACATTTGGCTTTACCAACCTAGAACCTATCGATTTCAGACAAATCTCACCCAATTCAACCATGAACTTTGTAAAAAGATGTGGATTGTACGGGGAACTGTAACCTCTAGGGGTGAGCCACAATAGACCCATCTGGGGTCGCAGTGGAGGGGAGGTGTTCGCCCCACTCACATGGAACCTAACCTAACCTAACCATATCTTGTTCTGGTCTATGCCCATGTCTGTAAACGTCAAAAATCGTACTGTGAACATCACTTGTAAATGACATTTAACAATTATATGAACGTAATGAGATCTCATAACATACACGTGCGTTCTGAGAAGAAAACGGAAACTTCTTGGTCTCTTTACACAAATTTAGTCAATTAAAAAACTTAAAAACTTTCAGCATTAGCAAGATATAATTAGGATTGAAAGAGTGATGCACCTAAACGTAGACAGAACGTTATTCAAGTTCTTTTAGCATGCTATGAAATAAATGTCATGCCATTTATATTGTCAATTTCTTGAACGAAATATAATTGTATCCAAACATTTTCTCAACTTTATCTACGAATATGTCTGATAGTAGTGAATGTCATGAAATTATGAGCACTACACCGGGGATTTTAGAAAAACTCAAGCTGCCACATATTTG